TTGCAACAGTATTTTGAAATTAAATAGTGAAAAGTACAAACAAATCATTGTTTCCAAATGGATAGCTTGTATATTATCGCATACCAAGATAATATATTCTGAATACTCAAGACTGAATAGTTTTTCTCCAGATAGGAATACTAAGTCACCAAGCACAACTTTCAGAATTTCAACGATTGAAGAAATTCACCAACCCCATCTAACCCGAATGCTGGTTGAGAACTGTGTCGATAGGCGTTCATATGCCCTGACTTAAGCTGAGATGATTTTGTGTAAGGACTTCAGTTTCCATAGAATTGTCAGGGATCCTTCTTAACAGACGTTTCCGAAGAACACTCCAGTCCAACAAATCTAGGAGAAACCTAATATTCGGAAATACATCATTCGATAAACATAAGTGAAAAATAACCACCATTGTTTATGGAAATAAGTAACAAAAACGAATTGGAAACTTATTTTTGGCTGTTATTGAAGAAGTGAGACGGAGTGTACACTTGAATCTATCCGTGCCTTTTGTATTTCCAAAATCTCAACCTTTTGTGTGATGGGAAATAATTTATTTGTACTTTAAACGTAGCATGGTTATCTTTCTTTGATTCTAATCCCAAGATTGGGGTGCGAGTATTTCCTTTACTACACATTTCTATTCACATCAGTTATCTTCACTTACTTCTCTTATCATGTCTCATTCTGAACCTTTGAATAAAAATGCTTCAATAATTGGGTGAGTAATCTGTTCTAAATGAATTAGAATCGATCACCACATAGTTGCACATTTAGCTGGATATTCTTAAACTTTCCTTCAAATTTAGCAACTGTGTAATTTGGTCGCAAAAGTAAATGACAAGACACCACTACACCCCGCAGATTGATATTAGATGTTAGGAAGAAACATATAGCACGGATCCAGATGTCGTGCTTGTTATTGCTCATCATCAAGGCACTCTACTCGAACTCATGCAGCCAGGTGAGAGCTTACGGTGAGTTGTCATCTGAATTGGTGACAACCAGGTGTCCGTCAGGGATGCCCACTATCCCCATTTCTATTCAATTTCATCATAGATGTACTAATGGACTTAACCCTAACTCACTTCAGAGACTCAGGGATCGACTTGTTACCAGGGAATAATCTCGTTGACTTAGAATATGGAGATGATATAGGGAGCATTGTCTCAACTACAGGAGGAACGGACGAGGATGTCAAATCGAGAATCGGGAAGGCGAGAAACACATTCATCAACCTGAAACCAATTTGGAAATCTTCGTCACTCAGCATCAACAACAAAATTCGGATTTTCAATACAAACGTCAAGTCACTTCTTCTATACGGATCAGAAACTTGGCCGGTCACAAAGAATATTTCCAACAGGTTGCAGATCTTTATCAACAGCTGCCTTCGTTCTATACTCAAGATCAGATGGCCGAAAAGAATCACCAACAAGAAACTATGGGAACAAACAAAACAAGAACCAATCGCCCAACAAATATGCAGGAGAAAGTGGAGATGGATTGGACACTCGCTGAGGAGGCCACTGGGTGACATTGCGCGTCAGGCCAATGCTCGAGTGGAACCCGAAGGGGAAGCGGCGAGTGGGACGTCCAAGGGTGACATGGAGGAGATCGTGTGAAGAAGAGTTGAAACAGTATGGACTAATATAGATGCAAGTGAAAAGTACAGCAGAAGACAGAAGCAAGTGGATACGTGCAGTTGAAGTCCTATGTTCCACTAGGAACCCAAGGGAACAATAATAATAATAATAGTCCTTCTAGGTGAAGAAGCTGACAAAATGCAATCTTCTGAACGCCTTGAGCTGCAATCTGCGAATGTTTGGCAAGCGATTCGCTCCTATCAAACATAAGATGATGCTACAGGACTGGACTACATTGACTCCTAGCTTAGAAATAGGAAGTGAAGTCGTAGAGCACGTTGACCACTTCACTTATTTGGGAAGTTGCATCAGCCAACTCCAACAGGTTGATCGCTGACGAAATCTCAGCACGGATACAGAAAGCTAGTTTCGCATATGCCAGTTTACGCCGTCTCTGGCGTAGACGTGATATCCGGCTATCGACCGAAGGGCGGGTGTACTGCTCAGTAGTCCGCTCCGTCCTCCTTTATGGCTGTGAGACCTGGCCATTGAAAGTAGAGGACATGAAAAGGCTAGGTGTCGAGTGCTAGGTAAGGAGGGGAAATCAATCAACGAGGTTGTGAAGTTACATCGATTGAGATGGTTAGGACATGTGTTACGCATGCCTTCCTAGTCATCGCCTTCCTCGACAATGGGCAATGTTAGCTGATATAGAGTCAAACCAAAACATGGCCTCATCAATCAATGAAATCCACAACAGTTAGTTTAAGACAAGTAGGAAGGTGTAGACTTCCTGGTTGGGGTCCTCGGGACGGTAAAAGCCAATGGCTGGAGACAATCGATGATATGGCTCAAAATCGTTCTCAATGGCGCAGATGCATCCACTCCTTGTGGCTTATAATACTCAATGAAACTATATTGCTCTTTGTTATTACTATTCCTTTTGTCTCATATCCCTGTCTATTGTCTCTATTTTGCATTTCTTCTCTTGCTTTGTGTGCTACCTGGAGTTTGGCAACTTGAACTGCTACAAATCGGTGCAAAGTTCTATGTTGAAAACAGACAGACAGAGATGCTCATCAGCTAGGCACATCTGAAATTTTAATGAAATTAAAGTTGCCTCCCTTGTTCCTAGGTACATCAATCAGTGAATATCTACTGACTTCTCACATTTAATGTGCAAAATTACTCTACATAGCAATATTATGTTAATTAACTCAGTTACAGAAAAGTCACCCTATTTGTATACACAATCCAGCTCAACATAGGGTCATCGCTGGATACAAAGGTTAGATAGTAAAGTCCCTGACATTATTAATGATTTACACAGACTCAAACCTTGGAGGCAATACGAATCTCCTCAAATCTTCAGACATAAATAAGGGGAAGAAAATGTGCTGTTTCAACTATCAGTTTCTGTCATTAACTTCCAAGTCCCTATTCGCTTTTAGGAGTGGAAGCTCAATTTTGGTTTTGAAGACCATCTGTAAAAATATGCATAATTAAAGGATATATTAGTAAGTGAATACCTTAACATTTCCAAGTGATAATCGTTCGTGAATAGCAGAGTAAGACTTCACTCATTGTGGCATAGTAAACGTTGCCAGAAATTATCCCAGTTGATGTATGTAGTTCTGGCTTTTGCTATACGACTGGAAGTTTCATTCGTATTGTTTTAAAAGTATTTATAATCAGTGTTTACACACGATGATATGTTTTAATCTTGGTAATATATCGAGTAACAGTTGGTGCGATCACCATCAGTAATTTTGTCTGAAATATGAAGATACGGTACAACGGCGTTAGCAACCTGTGAGAATAGTCGTTATGGAAGTGGACTCTATATTATTAACTGCAGAGTCGACAATCTAGTTCGGTCACCCAGACAAAAACCACTAGCACAGTAACAGAATGGCTATCGTAGTGTCACCAACAGTATCGAATGCTCGCATGAGGTGGGAAACAATATCCTCCAGGATCATGATAGGAAGGTTCAACTGAAAAGAAATGAAAGTTACAATTGTCCAATCTTACCTTACAAACAACGCACTCCCAGTGGGGGAGGAGGTCTTTTACAGATGACTGCAAACAGTAATGGATAAGACCCATGACAGAGAGCCATATCAAAATTCTAATAAGTGATACGAGTACCAAACTGGGAGCAAACAGTAAAGGACGAGAACTCATCATGAGTGGAGGAGTGCTCAAAAAACTGATGAAAACGCAGAACTCTTGGCTGAACTATGAGTCATTAATTATTTGGTGACTCGAGGTAGTGTATATAAGCACAAAGTTATATGGGTTTAACCAGATGGACACAGCAGAATTTAAAGATTACGTCTCAATTTCAAGAAAGTGGAGACGCAGCCTGCTGGATACAAAGTCGTGATGAGGAACAGACGTGGGCCGAGACCATTATTCAGTTTGAAGAAGTTTCAAAACGAAACTGAGAGCCAATAAATTAACTAGAGATAGACTACAATTTCAGTTAAACACCTAGAAACTGAGGGATGGAACTATCAAAGACACCACGACTACATGAATCAGGGAGAGGTCGCAGACATTAAGTAACTTAACTGAGGCAGATGAAATGGTTGATGAAGTCTAAAAATTCAGACTGCTGAACAAAAATAATGGAAAGAGAAGCTACCTGCAACAAAACTAAGCGTAAATTTAAAATGCTGAATCAACATAGAGGCAATACACCACAGCCATGACTGATAAAATGCATCAAGGATGATTTGTCACGGCAAAGAGAAAAGAATAAATTATTTTGAACCATTCAGAACCTATCATCTGGACCGCGTACTGCTTACGTACAATGGGGATAGATTTTGGTTGGCTAACAGCATACTACACTTCATGGATTAGCTAACTGTCAATTTTAAAGCACAAGTGAATAACCAGGAATTGCGATAGCAGCTATCCAAATCACATTGTTACAAACACCTACCATTAAAGTAAAATGTATCTATCCCCCAAAATAGGTGTTTTCGTGGGCACTACACTACCACCCCATCGTCCCTATCGCAGAAAATATTATTAAGCGTAGAATAGAACCAAATTTTACATTCATTAATACGATTTAAGCAAGTTCAAGTCATAAGAATTGCGTTTACTGCATATGACTATCCTTCGGTTGAATATATCGCATCCAAAGAGGTGGCATGTTGAAACAATATTCGTTCGTTTGCTAAATTACATAAAACGTACATATGTTCAAACCAAGTTCACTCTTAACATTACGTAAATACACGCCGCTTTTATAATTTCAAACACCTATCAAATCCAACAATCTACACCTGGTTTTGTAATCTTTACCAACTTGACAACGCGAAAATCACTCCATGCTGATGAACGATAATTTACGTTGTATATAAGCTGAGACTTCATAAACCTGGTTTTATATTACTTTGATAAAGCTTTTAGCATTAAATAGCGAAACGACAGTAAAAACAATATCGTTTTACTTTTCATTCATTGGGAAATACACAATATCTTATAATCATTTACATAATACGTTTATTTAGGAAGGTTTAGCTAACATGTCGAAACGTCAGTTAACTTTATCAGCTTGTCAAAATCTCCCAAATAGTGGCGATGGTTTAGTAAGCGCTCCGCAATGAAAGTCAAGACATCAACTGAAACCACAAACAAGATACAGGTACACCAAACACACGCGGAAATCACTGCACGATATTCTAGTACTCATATGACGGGGACAATTAAGGACGGAAAAAAGAACCAAAAATAAAAATAGAATAATGAAACTTATATTTAATTAGAGATTTCAGAAGAAAAATAAAAGCAAAATTAAACTGTCTCTATTACACATGAAATAAATTAACCACCACGTAGACGGAGAACCAAGTGAAGAGTCGACTCCTTCTGAATATTATAGTCAGACAATGTTCGACCATCTTCCAGTTGCTTCCCGGCGAAGATCAGACGTTGCTGGTCAGGTGGGATACCTTCTTTATCTTGGATCTTGGCTTTCACATTCTCAATCGTATCACTCGGCTCAACCTCCAAAGTTATGGTCTTACCAGTCAGGGTTTTCACGAATATCTGCATACCACCACGAAGACGGAGAACCAAGTGAAGAGTCGACTCCTTCTGAATATTATAGTCAGACAATGTTCGACCATCTTCCAGTTGCTTCCCGGCGAAGATCAGACGTTGCTGGTCAGGTGGGATACCTTCTTTATCTTGGATCTTGGCTTTCACATTCTCAATCGTATCACTCGGCTCAACCTCCAAAGTTATGGTCTTACCAGTCAGGGTTTTCACGAATATCTGCATACCACCACGAAGACGGAGAACCAAGTGAAGAGTCGACTCCTTCTGAATATTATAGTCAGACAATGTTCGACCATCTTCCAGTTGCTTCCCGGCGAAGATCAGACGTTGCTGGTCAGGTGGGATACCTTCTTTATCTTGGATCTTGGCTTTCACATTCTCAATCGTATCACTCGGCTCAACCTCCAAAGTTATGGTCTTACCAGTCAGGGTTTTCACGAATATCTGCATACCACCACGAAGACGGAGAACCAAGTGAAGAGTCGACTCCTTCTGAATATTATAGTCAGACAATGTTCGACCATCTTCCAGTTGCTTCCCGGCGAAGATCAGACGTTGCTGGTCAGGTGGGATACCTTCTTTATCTTGGATCTTGGCTTTCACATTCTCAATCGTATCACTCGGCTCAACCTCCAAAGTTATGGTCTTACCAGTCAGGGTTTTCACGAATATCTGCATACCACCACGAAGACGGAGAACCAAGTGAAGAGTCGACTCCTTCTGAATATTATAGTCAGACAATGTTCGACCATCTTCCAGTTGCTTCCCGGCGAAGATCAGACGTTGCTGGTCAGGTGGGATACCTTCTTTATCTTGGATCTTGGCTTTCACATTCTCAATCGTATCACTCGGCTCAACCTCCAAAGTTATGGTCTTACCAGTCAGGGTTTTCACGAATATCTGCATACCACCACGAAGACGGAGAACCAAGTGAAGAGTCGACTCCTTCTGAATATTATAGTCAGACAATGTTCGACCATCTTCCAGTTGCTTCCCGGCGAAGATCAGACGTTGCTGGTCAGGTGGGATACCTTCTTTATCTTGGATCTTGGCTTTCACATTCTCAATCGTATCACTCGGCTCAACCTCCAAAGTTATGGTCTTACCAGTCAGGGTTTTCACGAATATCTGCATACCACCACGAAGACGGAGAACCAAGTGAAGAGTCGACTCCTTCTGAATATTATAGTCAGACAATGTTCGACCATCTTCCAGTTGCTTCCCGGCGAAGATCAGACGTTGCTGGTCAGGTGGGATACCTTCTTTATCTTGGATCTTGGCTTTCACATTCTCAATCGTATCACTCGGCTCAACCTCCAAAGTTATGGTCTTACCAGTCAGGGTTTTCACGAATATCTGCATACCACCACGAAGACGGAGAACCAAGTGAAGAGTCGACTCCTTCTGAATATTATAGTCAGACAATGTTCGACCATCTTCCAGTTGCTTCCCGGCGAAGATCAGACGTTGCTGGTCAGGTGGGATACCTTCTTTATCTTGGATCTTGGCTTTCACATTCTCAATCGTATCACTCGGCTCAACCTCCAAAGTTATGGTCTTACCAGTCAGGGTTTTCACGAATATCTGCATACCACCACGAAGACGGAGAACCAAGTGAAGAGTCGACTCCTTCTGAATATTATAGTCAGACAATGTTCGACCATCTTCCAGTTGCTTCCCGGCGAAGATCAGACGTTGCTGGTCAGGTGGGATACCTTCTTTATCTTGGATCTTGGCTTTCACATTCTCAATCGTATCACTCGGCTCAACCTCCAAAGTTATGGTCTTACCAGTCAGGGTTTTCACGAATATCTGCATACCACCACGAAGACGGAGAACCAAGTGAAGAGTCGACTCCTTCTGAATATTATAGTCAGACAATGTTCGACCATCTTCCAGTTGCTTCCCGGCGAAGATCAGACGTTGCTGGTCAGGTGGGATACCTTCTTTATCTTGGATCTTGGCTTTCACATTCTCAATCGTATCACTCGGCTCAACCTCCAAAGTTATGGTCTTACCAGTCAGGGTTTTCACGAATATCTGCATACCACCACGAAGACGGAGAACCAAGTGAAGAGTCGACTCCTTCTGAATATTATAGTCAGACAATGTTCGACCATCTTCCAGTTGCTTCCCGGCGAAGATCAGACGTTGCTGGTCAGGTGGGATACCTTCTTTATCTTGGATCTTGGCTTTCACATTCTCAATCGTATCACTCGGCTCAACCTCCAAAGTTATGGTCTTACCAGTCAGGGTTTTCACGAATATCTGCATACCACCACGAAGACGGAGAACCAAGTGAAGAGTCGACTCCTTCTGAATATTATAGTCAGACAATGTTCGACCATCTTCCAGTTGCTTCCCGGCGAAGATCAGACGTTGCTGGTCAGGTGGGATACCTTCTTTATCTTGGATCTTGGCTTTCACATTCTCAATCGTATCACTCGGCTCAACCTCCAAAGTTATGGTCTTACCAGTCAGGGTTTTCACGAATATCTGCATACCACCACGAAGACGGAGAACCAAGTGAAGAGTCGACTCCTTCTGAATATTATAGTCAGACAATGTTCGACCATCTTCCAGTTGCTTCCCGGCGAAGATCAGACGTTGCTGGTCAGGTGGGATACCTTCTTTATCTTGGATCTTGGCTTTCACATTCTCAATCGTATCACTCGGCTCAACCTCCAAAGTTATGGTCTTACCAGTCAGGGTTTTCACGAATATCTGCATACCACCACGAAGACGGAGAACCAAGTGAAGAGTCGACTCCTTCTGAATATTATAGTCAGACAATGTTCGACCATCTTCCAGTTGCTTCCCGGCGAAGATCAGACGTTGCTGGTCAGGTGGGATACCTTCTTTATCTTGGATCTTGGCTTTCACATTCTCAATCGTATCACTCGGCTCAACCTCCAAAGTTATAGTTTTGCCAGTCAATGTTTTCACGAAGATCTGCATGTTGCGAAGATTTGTGTGGTAGAAAACAAAATGGGGGCCTAGCAACTGAATGTGTTTATATACGTTGTCTTGCTGATGTGACACGTCTATTATTTGTTTGGTGCAGTAAAACAATTGTTAATAAGTGTAGGGTTTTTGAGATTTTAAAGAACTGAGGTCTCTTTTATGGGTGATTTACAAATTATTGAGGTTTATTTTCACAAAATTTGCCGATTATATTGCTTGCTTTGTTATTTCTAAGAACATGATAACACTAGATATAGTGACGAAGGCATTCATTATAAGACATCCGAGCATCGTAATGGAGTATGCTGTCCTGTTGTTTACATTGTCTACTACTGATAAGTGGGCTTGATAAATCGAACTATTTCAGCAGCGTCAACATTCAACATCCAGGACTGACCTTAAATAAATCAGCACAGTACATTTTGTGAATTCTGTAGACATTCAGTGCTCTAGTATTTACCCTCCCGATAACCAAATACGCATTTTAAGCTGAACTTATGAGATTGTAAGACAGACCATTCTGGGATCCTTCAGCCTACCGAACCTACTGTAAATAAGTCTGCATAAACAGAATTCATTGAGGGGATAAATACCTTGCACTACATTATTTTTACTTTGGCCTCCATAAGTTGGTAAATCTGACAACATTCGAATTTGGCCCATTCCCTCTGATACTTTTTTTATATGCTAAAAGAATGCTAAGGAAAATGTTGACTAATGGTTTAATCTAAGTAGGCAGGAATCAATTCAGCACTTCAGTCATTTTGGGAAAAATTCAACAGGAAATATTCAATTTGTGTTAATTTCTGACAGCTAGAAATCATTCCACGCAGTACACTTCCTGTGGTCTTTCAGAAATGAAAAGGAAAAAGGTGAGATAGAACCAAGGTCTACGAAAGTATTAACAGTACTCACCTGAACAGTCCAAAGTCCGGATACTAAGAGGGATAGTTCACGGGAAAGCAAAGTTTAATGGTCGCTTCATGAAAAACTTCGATGAAGTACAAGCCCGATTAGTGAGTTAAAATATGTTTGGTTAGACTACTCACAGATGATATCTAACAACAACGAACAGTCTCTGAACTACCAGCAAATAACATTTTGTAAATTCTGTTTTAATAATACTTTGAAGCTATTAGCATTAAACAGCGAAAAGTCAGTAAAAACAATATCATTTTGTTTTCCATAAATTGGGAAATACAAAAAACCTTTATTATAATGAATATCATATACCCAGTGCACAAATTTTTTAAACTGTTGAAAGTGAACTTGGTTTGGATGTATATATCTGATGTCAAAAGAGTTCAAAGTGGTTACATATGCAAGTGACTATGGAATAGTTGTAGTTCTAAGACAAGAATGTGTCAGTCGAATTTTAACAAACACTGAGCGAAAATATCAATTGGCACAGAAAAAATGTCCAGCAACAGTGTGAGTGTTAGACAAGTGGAGACCTTGAGTATTTTGTCAGCCCTTCCACATCAAAACTGATTGCATGTCACTTAAGTGGCTCAAGATAACGAAAGATCCGAATGGGAGATTGTCACGCTCGATGTTTCGCCTGCAGGAGTACCAGTTCAAGATATTTCATGTTCCATGAAAAAGGAGTTTCTTGGAGAATTTGTTGCATAAGCCGTATGATGCAGCTGAGCACCCGGAGATCGCATACAGAGTAAATGCATTAGAACAAGATCCGGTTAGCGCGAGCCGCTGTTAAAATTCGTTTCCTCAATAGTTTGGCGACTATGTCCTTAATACACTCAGCAAGAACCTGGCATTCTTAATCAAGCCGAGACTCGGGTACCATGCAATAACCATGCAGTAACAAAAATCTCCGGATTGGTAACGGTTATTCGTAACTTCTGCCAGTATTCTGTGGAACCTTCCGGTTGATGCTGGAGAAGACTAGATAGATTCAATGAATGGCGCTCGCTCGCCTTGATACTGACACATCTGAACCTTTCTTTCATTGTTAGTCATCTCTTTCGGTTACCCATTTGTAAGTCATATCTTTCCTGGAAGTCTATGTCTAGAATTGCTAGGTCTAAGTCAACGACAGTGAAAACCCATGGGAGCTGACTTTTGCTGGTGACCTCCAGCGTGATGAGGGACCTTTGTCGCCTAATCTCGGCCATTGCTTCTGGTATGATACTGACAGCAGCTTCTGCATAAACCCATTGTCTATACCATCATATCAATGCTTGATGTAGAGTGGGCAGTCTCCACCTGAAAGGAGGATATCCGTCTTCTTGTTGCCTGTGAAGTATTTTAGGGCAAAACCATGGTTGTGTGCACTTTGCTGACTGTGACAAACCTCGAGTGATAGAGTTGTCCTGCCCATCTAGTTTGTCTGAGTTTACTCCTTGACAGGGAATGTGGTCTAACTCGTCTGCCCTGTGTAAGCTGTATTTGTGCTAGTTTTTCACTAGTCAACTTCCGTATAGTTACCATGCCAATTATTTCCTACAGGGACTGGCACGAATTGTCCTACAAAGTCACTCTCATATCACTTCAGTGCTACTGAGCAAAGGCACCATCAGTGATCCTGAATTAAATCAGTCAGTCAGGTTAATTGAACGACTTCAACCTCGCTTCCCTTTGTCTTCAACTTGAAATGATGCCTAAGATTTTTGTTAGTCTGGATCCTTAACAAAAAAAGAAAAAATAAGGATTGTACAGATCTAAATTATAAATTTTGCAAAATGCTTCTGCTGCTACCATCAACAAGCTTGTTCAGCTGCTTGTCAATATGCTACACCGTGGGCCCTAAAGAAATTCGTGAGACATCTTACAGATCAGCTTGACCTAAGGGTTCTAATCTTCCAGTTCTTCGAATTCCCTTCTCACTAAAACAAAACTCATCTATACCTCAATAATCTTTTTATTTACGCACTATTATACCCTATTTTATCTTAACTACCTAGGCCTTTATTAAAGCTAAAACTTACTCTGGTTGCTTTGAATAAAAGCACAACAACACCAATGGTTGAACAAAGCTATATCTTCATCGAAAACATCATACTTTCCGTGCTTGGACCAATATGGTTAGCATTAAAACTCTGCAAATGTATACTATCACTTTTTTTGAAAAGTCATCAATTTGTTATACTTCAGGATTGTGATTTATAACATACCTGATTGTGCCTGTAAAAGTGGCATGCATTCCCTGTAAACACCAGTTTATACGAAATATTAATTACAATTATTTCCTATTGAAATTTCTATACCAGACTGTTATTGTAAGTCTTATCGCTTGAGCATCCTCTGCTGCTTCTTATAATTTAACATCTGTAAACTGGATTTTCCTCAAGTGTATGTTCATCTAAATCCAGTTAGCGAGGCTTCTTCAATTCTGTCCCGTCAGCTTGAGCCATGATGTTCCGAGGCTCTGTTACATGTATTTGCTTTAATAATAATAATTTATATTTCGTATAAACAGGTAAGTTTAGAGTAGATCCAGATTGGAGTTCATGCGAGTAGTGAAGAGATATGCCCAGAAAACAGTGTGAGTGATGAATTCGACAGTGATTACTTCCAGCCATTGAAACTGGTGCTTTACACTATGAACGTCTTGATTTTATGACGATGTTATGTTTTATCGGTATGCTGATACCGCGGCTTTATTAATCACTAGGGGTCGTACATTTGATATATTCCGTTGGACTGTCTGTCAGTTCCATCTAGAATGATAGCTGATACGCTTATGCTGGATTAAAAGTTTACCTTGACACACGGAGACGTCAACAAAGTGCAGAGCACAAGCAGAACTTGGTTGAATTGGGAAATCTTTTCGAGGAACTGCCGTGAGCGGGCTGCTGTATACCGTGCCAGTAAAGCAGGATTTTACTTTGCTCTCACCAGGGAGCAAGTGTTTTCTAAACTGCCTCTGGGACCCTTGCAACGCAAAAAGCAAAGGAAGACTCTAATTCAAGAAATAAACAATTTCACCACACCCTGAAGATAGCCTCACTGATCGCAAAAGAAATGAAGGAGAAAAAATCGGTAAGCGTAATAATAAAATGTCAGGATATGCCCGTAGGTAATTTTCTCGTAAATTCGGACTCGCAAAGATATTCTGTGGTCTGAAAAAAGAAAAGGTGAAACCGAGTTTAGCAGTAGGTATGAGAAATGAGAGCGGTCAAATCAAACCTAATTGCTTCACGAGAATTCATAATAAGGTATATAAACGATGTGTTGCACTCACTGACAATCTAGCAAATTTTTCCAACTGTGCACAGAAATGATTGTATATAAGTGAAAAGGCTGTTTCATACTACTGGGACTGACATTTATCAAGTGTATGTATAATCTCCAGCGAACATGTAAAGCATATCTTGCTACTGCCTGTAAATTGTGATTGAATTAAATGGTTCTATTTCTGTAACAATTTGATGATTCCTGTAGACTGGCGTCCCTCATGTACTGTACTATGAGAATAAATTTATTTATTTATAAAATCTATGTTGAAATCCTGGATCGTAGACACTGTGAGTTTCACTGCTTACCTAGATACTGACCGGTGGGATTGTTTTGCCTTGAATTGGCAGGCATGTCATTTAATATACACCTTTTATCGCCGTGTTTTTCATATAGTTCTGTTGGTGTTATCATGGTTATTATTTTTACGTGAACTTATGACATGATTTCTGTTTTAATTCTGTTGAACATACTACAGGATGAAAAACTAAAACAGTAAATAGATATTGTGATGGAAATGGGAGCTAGCCACCTAGTAAAACTAGTTGCGGTTGACAACTACAAAGTGTTGCTACAAGGCTAAGGGAAATAGTTGACGGTGTCGGTGATAAAATGTAGCTTAATGCAACAAGAACTACTTATGTTTTGCATCGAAGCGCAAGAAGTTGCTTGCAAAAATTTGAGGGGGTAAATGAACGTGAAGACTGCTGCTGTTTTATTCATTATCAATAAATAAATAAATTTATTCTCATAGTACAGTACATGAGGGACGCCAGTCTACAGGAATCATCAAATTGTTACAGAAATAGAACCATTTAATTCAATCACAATTTACAGGCAGTAGCAAGATATGCTTTACATGTTCGCTGGAGATTATAC